GTGTAAAATACATCATTAAAAGTTCTGAGATTGATTTCTGTTGCCAAATTTACTGGTGTCTCTTCCTTCATTCTCTCTTGGACTACCAGCTTACTATGTGATTGCCTCATCTGTGTCATTTTCAAATTTATCACGTTATGATGTTGTCAGCTACTTATATATATATAGTCCATAGTTATTTGAATTCGCCAACGTGTTATATACCAAAAAGATTGATTCTTGCGTTGGAAATGAAGATGTGGGAATCAAGTTATGGCTGACGAGCTCAACAAGCTGTATGAATGTTTTCCCCGTGGAGAATGATTTGGTGGGGAGGTACAATTTCATAAATGACTCCATCTGATTTAATAAATTGGTTTGATGCAATCAGAGACAATTTCGGTTTTTAGGTGAAAATGAGAATTTTAATGGGAACATATGCACACTCTCTGCGGGTTACTACGATGCTTATTACAAGCGAGCTCAACAAGTTGTTGGGGTCTCACCAAACACTTTGATTCAATTTGAGAAATCACATTCACAAGTCTCTGAAAATAATCCTCAAACACAAACAACTGAGATTGAAAAGAAAAGAAGATATCACGTGAGTAACATGTGCAGGGAAATTGTTTTTTTCATTTTGAAAATTAATTATTGAAGAAATTTGGAAAAATACACCTTTTGACTTTTTAAATTTGAAAAATACACTCTCTTTTTTATTTTTTGAAAACTACACTTTTCTAAATATTAATTTACAAAAATATCCTCATAAAATCTGAACAATAATTTATATAATATTTGCTTCTTGTTTTTTAAAAATGTAAATAGCCAATTGTGCTTCAAATACGGTGATATATATAGTCTTTGTGCAAATTTGCTTTTAAGTATGTTTATGATGATGCTACATCTACACGGTGGTTCAATCGAAGACGCGGAAACAAAAACGGAGTAAGAGATAAGTTTATGCATAGATATTGTACTTTGCGTTTACCAATTATGCACAAACCGACATGATTCACTCTTTGTGCTGGAACAAACTCATATGATTTCTATAGTGCTAATAAGGAATGAGAATACCACCAAGTAATTAAAACTCTGAAACAAGAAAAACAAGGTCAACGTCATGTTATGTAACTTTTTGTTTTTCAATAAACTAGACTTCTAACTAAGGCACACAAACTATGTTATGTAACATTTTTTTTTTTTCACAAACCGACAGTAC